TGCAACTAGATCTGCTGTTTGTGAAGTTTTTCTCTAAACTAGTAACCCTGGTGGACGCCAGGACTTGTCTGAGCCTTTGATGTGTTGATGTGGCAGGTAGTCAAGCACACACACCTCCCCCTGGTGGCCGCATGTCAAAATTGCAGGTCCAGGCTTTCTAGTGTGAGAAACAAACCTGCCTGCCCCCCCACCCCACGTCAATCCGTCAATGCATCCATTGGGGCTAAACTGGTTCTAGGTCCATTTTCAGGCTGGAGGACTTGCAAAGGCTCTCGAGCTTGGTCTTCCCTGCCCCTGCTATGCTAAAAATGCACCTTGGATCCCAGCTGTCCTCATTGGCGATGACCCCAGCTGAGCTGTGTTGCAGGGACAGTGTGGCTTTGCTCAGCCCCTCTGCGGGTGTCTATCCTCCCTTGGCACTGTGGCACACTACAGTCGCATCGTGGGCCCCATTAAAGTGTCCATCTGTGTGCTAGGAGATGATCCACCCAAGGACAACGTCATGACGTCCACAGCTCCGACCTTGAGGTGGGGGCTTCCTGCAAAGTTTGCTTCCTTTGCAGAGCAGGGGAACACTCCAGACTCCGTGGCTAAGGGAGGGATGAGGGGCCCCAAGGACAGAGTTCCTCCGTGGTGGGTACCACCACCCCGTGTCCGTGCAGCTTGAGAAGCAGGTGCTTCTGTCCTGGACAGGAGCCGCACCTCATCATCCCCTGGGAAGGCCAGGTGAAAGGGAGTGCAGGCACTCGGACTCTGCACATCCAGGGTGAGGGCTGGTGCTATGACACACCCAAGGCAAAGGTCCCCCACCCCAACTACGGAAGGTGACAACGGACACATGTCCCTCCTACGGCGAGGCTCCCTCGGCCCCCACATGGCGAAAGGAGGAGAGAGAGGAGTCTCGGGACCCTGAGGCCTCACAGAGCATGGAATCCAGTGGCAGAAAGGGAAGGCTTCTTGGACCATCTCTCCTCTGAGGCCCACATCCCTGTATCCCAGAAGAGCATCACTCTTGTGGGTCACTGTCCTCTGGGCATGACATGTCCGATGCACTCTTGAACCATGAGCAGCTGGGTCCACCAGCTTCCATCCTGGAAAAGGGGTTCATGAGACTCCACGGTTCCTCAAGAATTTCCACTTCAGGATTGCCTGAGGGAGAGACCCATGAAGCCATGCCCCTGTCCCTAGGACTTCTCTAGCTAATGGTTGCTAGGATGAGGCCCCGCCCTGCCCTGAGGATTTATAGACAGTTAACAGTTGCTTGGGGAGGGACTGACGAGGCTATGCCCATCCCTGAGGATAAATTGGCAGTTAACAATTGCTAGACAAAGTGCTTGCTCCCAAGGCCATGCCCCCGCCCTGAGGAGTTACACAGTTAACTGTCAGGAGAGAGATATCATTGTCCATGGTACCCTAGCCCCTGTGAATAATCCTATGAAATATTGTGTCACCAAAACCCGCTTGGTTGGAATTGTTTCCTGTCTCTGTTGTTGGTGCCTTATGTGGAGTGCTTAGACGTCTGTTCCTATCTCTTCAGAAAAAGTTCACATGACATCCATTTAACCGTGGGGGCCTGTCTGCAAGGCCTGCTCTTTCCCCAGGGGCATTTCCAGTGTCTCTGCCCCTCTGAATTCCCTCACAGTGCCCCTGGCTCAGGGACCCCAGACTGAACTGGCCTTGTGTGTGCCCACAGCAGTGGGGGCCCTCACAGGCCTGGTCCTGCCGCCCCAGGCTCTGCTTCTCCAGCTGCCCCACCTCCCAGCTTTAACCATCACCAGTCACTCGCTGGTCAGCTAATGACAGGGATGCTGACCATCCCTGCCCCTGGAGCTCTGAGTGTAACTGAAGGGTCGGGGCTGGTTCCTAAGGGCACTGTGCTGGATTAAAGCTTGACACAACTGGGTTGAGGAGCCTCAACTGGGGAATCACCTCCATTGGACAGGCCTGTGGCCATGCCCACTGTGGGTGGTGCCACCCCTGGGCAGGTGGGCCTGTGTCGCATAAGAAAGCAGGCTGAGCAGGGGCCAGGGGAGCAAGCCAGTAAGCAGCATTCCTCCATGGCCTGTGCTCCAGCTCCTGCCTCCAGGTACCTGCCCTGAGTTCCTACCTTGGGCTCCCTGATGAACTGCGACCTGGGCGCTGTAAGCTGAATAAACCCTTTCCTCCCCAAGTTGGTAGTGGTCAGAGTGTTTTGTCACAGCAATGGAACAGACATCAAGGGAGGGGCGGTGACCAGGCTCCAGGCTGTGTGCACAACTGTGACTGTGCACTGGGATCTGAGTTCACTCAGCTGCTGGGCTGCAGTAAACTGCAGGCAATGCATTCTTTCCTGCTCTGGAGGCTGGGTGCCAGGGACTTGCAGACTGTCCTGTCCTCTGGTCGTCACAGGGAACTCCTGTGCCACTTTTATAAAGGCAGCATTCGCGTTTCCCTCATGACCTGAGCTCGCCTGTGATGGCAGTTATTGTCAGTATGACAGAATCCAGAATCACCATGGAGACCCATCTCTGCACGTCTGTGAGGGAACTTCTAGATTGGGTCAACTGCAGAGGGAAGACCCACCCTGAATTTGGGGGGCACTGTCCCATAAACTGGGACCCAGGGCTGAATAAAAATCGGGAAGTGAGCTGAGCTCCAGCACGCATCCCTCTCTGTTCCCTGACTATGGACGCACCGTGACTGCCGCCTGCCGCCTCACCACCCTGCCGCCGTGCCTTCCCACCATGACGGACTGCGTCCTCCAACTGTGAGCCAGATAAACCTTTCTTGAGAGCTGGTTTGGAGGTTCTAGCAGGGGAGCGCAGCTATTCATAGACCTTGACCGAAGGCCGGTCCTTCTCTATTGGGAAGGTTGTCCTCTTTGGCCGAGTGCACAGCTTCGGGAGGGATGCACGTGGATCGTTGAGGGAGGATAAACCTTTCTTGAGTTGCTTTTCTCAGATGTGTTGTCATAGTAACGGGCTAAAGCAACTAATGGAAGGTCCCAAGGCCCCACTTCCTAACCCCATCACCTTTGGTGTGGGTTTCGGGTACATTCACTCCATGGCAGTGCAGTCTAAGGTGCTCTCGGCAAGGACAGAGGGCACACATGGAGGGGTTACTGCTGGATCGTTTGGGGGACCACCCTACAGGCTGGCTGCTCCATCTCCCTGCCTGGTCCGATACAAGGTGCTTTGGTTGTAATGACACTGAGGAGCCACTCTACTGACTTTTGTCAAGTTTGGGTCAAGGCAAACGAAGGGGCTGTCAGCAGCCCACCCCAGCCCTTATGCCTGTTCTGTGTGACGGCCACACGCCTGTGGTTGAGTGCTGAGCAACAGGACAGCTGCCTGCCTCTGTCCCCATGCCAGGCAACGTGCCACTCCTGCCTGCTGAGGAGGGCTTGCAGCAGGCCTTTACGGGACGTGGCAGATCGTACTTGCGTTGTCCCTGCTTGGGTCAGGAGGCCGAACCCCAGGAGCACAGCCCAGCCGGACTCAGAATTGACTTCGCTGATGTCACATGGACACTCTGGGGTATCAGAACACAGGGTTCATTCTATCCCCTTCTAAAGCCCTAAAAGCAGACGGCATCAAAGGCAGCTGTTTCAGTGGTGGCATCGCCCATCGGGCAGATGGCTGGTGATGGTTGAGTGGATCCCAGGCTCCTGGGAGAGCTTGAGGCCCCCAAGCTCCCACACACATTGCTGTGGGAATAGAGGTTTGGGGAATGTATGCGGAAGCTCCAGAGTTTTTACATCTCAGTAGCTAAGATGGTGTCAACACTGTTTGGCAGGGTGTGGCCCCTGGTAATCTTGATTCACCTAAGTGGGGACAGAGGGATTCTAGAACGTGCGTGCGTGGTCTGCGATCCCAGCAACACTGCCTCTCCTCCCCGACACGTGCTCCCTGAGGCTGGTAGCCAGATCTGTTTACTGAGGATAGGCAGGGAGCATCCCCGGGCCCCTCCACAGCCCCACATGCACGTGCAGTCGCAGACATGCTCTGGGTCTCTGCCAGGGGGTGTTGCTGACTCAGGCTTTTAGGGATGCCACGATGGAGTCCCACACAGCCTACCCCACAGTGCTCATGCCCCAGGAAGATGCCAGGCAAGGCCAGGACACAGAGGCCAATGAGATGCCATCCTGGCTGTGGGGAGGGGGTAGATGTACCTCCAAGAGGGCAGGATCTTGAACACACCTATCCGATGGGTTTTTCCCCTGCTTCTAGCCAGAGACAAGGGTTGGGGAAAGTCACAGGGATGACAGGGCCAGAGTGCTGTTCATTTGTATGTGGGGGGTACAATGTTAGAGATTCCCCTCTCCCCCAGCCCCTGCATTGTGGGCATAATGCAGGAACCATGCTGACCATATATATAATTTTTGATCAAGAGGGAGTGAGACAGGGTCTCCCTCTGTAGCCCCTGCCTCTCCGTGCTCACATCCATTTATTTCCCGGGAAATGGGAGTGGAGACCTGCCTCTGAAAGCTCAGAGATCCTGAACTCCAGAGCGGAGCTCACCTGAGGACATCATAGGGGTCCAGGAGCTCTGGGGCACTTGTCCCTCCTCCCCTACAATGCCAGGGCAGGAGCCCCATCCACCTTGACACCTTGTAGAACCAAGTTTTTACACCTCCAGGTGGGAGAGAGAGGGAGCCCTGAGGAAATGGGCCATGTCAGTGTGATGGGTGATTCCAAGAAGCCAGAGAAGCAATTAAGGACCAGGCTTCCTCCTTAGAACTGTCACTGCAACCAGCCCTGGAAATCTGTGTGGCAACTTCTCTTCTGAGAATTCTTCAGAAGACTCCCAGCAGTCCTGCCTGGCCTCTGGAGAGCTGCAGGGCCAGGGGGAGGGTGCTGGAGGGGGTACCCAGACCCCACCATGTGGTGGCCTCCGCAGCCACAGCTCTGTACCTACTAACCACCGCCCCCAAAGCAGCTTCATTTCCACAGAGGCGAAGGTCTCCCTGTCTCCTCCAGAGTCTACCACCCTCACTGACCTGCCACCCCATCTTCCTGCAGGTTAACAATGAAAATGTCGTCAAGGTCGGCCACAGGCAGGTGGTGAACATGATCCGCCAGGGAGGCAATCACCTCGTCCTTAAAGTCGTCACGGTGACCAGGAATCTGGACCCTGATGACACTGCGAGGAAGAAAGGTGTGTGTCCCTCACGGTGCCCTGGGGGTGGGGGAGGCAGAGGTCACTGGTGGGGTAGGTGGGCTTTCTGTTTGGGTGAATGCCCCTCCAGAGAACCCAGGTGTGGGGAGAGGCTGGAATTTGCCACCAGGGCCGTAACATTGGCCTAGACTCACCCTCCAGCTGAGAGAGGCCACAACTGGGCGACGTGTAAAGTGGGACCTGAGGAGGGGGTTAAAGCACAAGCCAGATACCTTCTGCCATGTTGAGAGAACAGAGTGGGGGATAAAGGGGTCCTTCTAGCCTTTTCTCCCAAGAACAACTGTGCAGAGGTACCAGGGACAGCTGGAGAAGAGATGTTGACTGCAGCAGGGTACAGCCTAGGGAGGCTGCCAGGAGGAGAGGGCCTAGAACAAGGCAGGCCACAGTGGGAGGGTATGAGGACGGCACTTCCTGGACACCTGCAGGCCTCTTTCTCGAGCAGGACAGCCTGACATAGTGACTGAGCCACCTGCGTCCCACTGGCTGTGCCCCATCACAAGCAGATGCCACACAGACTGAACAGTTGTCTGAGCTCCCCTCCCCAGCCCAGAGCATCTACCCTAGTCCATCCTCAGTACCCAGGGCCACTGTGGTTAGGAGCTGTGGCACTCACCGGCCTGTCAGCTACTGTCCCCCACCCCCAGCTTCTTCCCATATTTAGAAATGAAGGGTGCAGGATGGGGTCCGGGCAGTGTGGGGCCTTGTGCGGTTCTCACACCTGCTCTGCCTCTGCCTACCTGTCAAGCTCCCCCACCTCCGAAACGGGCGCCGACCACGGCCCTTACCCTGCGTTCCAAGTCTATGACTGCGGAGCTGGAGGAGCTCGGTAAGGCCCGCCTTACCCTCTGCCTCTGCTGCCCCAGCCCATGCATGGTCTCTTGCTGACTTGATTGCCCCTTTCGGTGACCCAAGCCCCCTTCCCTGCATGCCTGGGGAGCTCCATGCTTGGCATCTCCATTGGGGGCCTGAGGGGTGGGGGCTGTTTCTCTTTTCTGTTTATCTAACATTGTTTTGTTTTGAATTTTTGGGCCTCTCACTAGTGGACAAAGGTAAGCAGCCCCGCTGGCCCACGCAGCAGCCCCCCCTGCTGCCTAGGGCACCCTCACTCACCCCGTCTCAGCTGGGCCTCCAGGCCTGCTCCAGCGACTCCCTGACAAAGAGAGCAGGCGGCTCCAACTTGAAGGCCTGCCTTGAGGTTCCACAGAGAGCCTTGGCACACCCAGCACCTTACAAGGTCCAATAAAAGGCTTGGCCATTTGTCCCCTTGGAGCAGACTGGGGCAGGGTGACTATCTGCTGCACCTACCATGGGGACCATTCAAAAGAGGGTCCATTCCAAAACTAAGAACCATGTCCCCATGTGTCACCAGGGAGCAGAAAGTCCAGAGCTGTCTGCAGAGAGGGCAGCTCTGAGTTACGAAGATCTTGGGGGGTGGGGGGAGAACAGGGGGCAATACTTGCCCCATGGAGAGCAGCATAGGGTTAGGGAGGGCTGGGGAGGGCAGTCCCCTAGGCACAGAAGCCGGGTGGGTAGGTTGAAAGCCTCTCAGTCAGTGGTGTCCTGCCCAGATGTCACTGACAACCATCTCCAGCCTCACATGGGAAACCCACAGGTCCCTTACCAACATAGATTGGCACCTGCTCCCTTGCTCGGCCCCAGCAGGGGTCTAGCAAACACTGTCGTTCCTGGGACCCCAGCTACCTTTCTTTGTGTGCTGGGGTTAGAATCTAAAGCTCAGCACAAATCCTCGGTCTTCTAGAAGAGAGTACCCTACCACAAGAATTTCTAGCCTTTCCCCTGACCCCATCGTATCCCTTCAAATGAGACCCACTGGGAAAAACCTAAGGGTTCCTGGAGACACAGTGTGTGCTCTGCTTAAAGCGGGCACCAAGGCCAGCCTTCGTGCCGAGGGACTGGTGTAGGGTTCCCGGGACAACCTCCAGCCTCCAGGACCTCCAGGTCCTGCTAAAGGCAGCCCACCCAACCTCATGAAACTCAGTCCCACCTTGCAGGGTGCTGGTGGCATGAAGGGGCAAAGTAAGAAAGAAAGACCCTTTGCCACCTCCAGGAAGGGGGTTCAAGCAGGATGAGGAGGAAGGAACAGCCCAGATACCGGTTCTGGCAGGCCACTCTGGAGATGCCCCTTCCCCCATTCCTGGGCTCCACATTGGCTCCCCTACTGTCTCCTGTGACCTCTGTGAGCTCGGTGAGGCCCCGGGTGCGGGCCATGGTGGGCACTGTTGCCCTGGGCGGGCACTGCCGCTGGAGGGTGGCTCACAAGCTTCCCTTTCTGTTTGCAAGCCTCGGTCCGGAAGAAGAAGGGTAAGGGAGTATCTGTCCCCAGTACTCTTACCCGGTAGAAGAGACACCCCTGTGACCATCATGTGAAGTCCAGAGTACGCTGTGTGCCTTGTGTCCTTCTTCCCCCCATTTGGGGTCCTTCCCCAGGGCCCATTCCTGGGGTACACCCTGTCTTGGTCTGTCTGATCTGCTTGACTTCTGTGTGTGACCCCCACCCCCTGAACTGTTCGTAAGTCCTCCCTGATCTGTGTCCTTATCAACATGGCAGTGAAGTAGCCAGGACTCGGGACAGTCCCAGATGGCCTACCTGGGCTGCAAGTGCCTTGAATTCTGTGAATCTGACCAGAGTCAGAGCCATGTGTTGGGATGCAGGCGGGGGGAACCCTGGCCTTGTTTCTGGCCTGCGGACTTGTAAGAGTGTCTCAGCTCCTTTGCACCGGGAGACAGGGGAGCAGTGTGGGCCTGTTAGTGGGAAGACAGACAGCTGCTGTGTCTGTGACAAGCCATGGCATGAGGCCAACGTGTACCTGGTAGGGCCCTGCCTTCATCACAGATGGTTCCCCCTAACCACGGGAGAGACCCCAACACTGCAATCTAACACCTTTCCCTGGGGCTCGGAGTGTCCCTGGTGGCCACACTACTGAACCTAGGCAGTGTCGACCTAGCATAATAATGCTGACCTGGGTGGGTGTTGGCATCCAGCGGGACCCATGTCGGGGCAGGATGGTGCCCTGGAGCAGCCAGCAGAGCCACCCCCGGGCAGCAGCCTTCCGTGCTTGCCACGTCAAGCTGCATAGGACCCTCTGGCAGGCTTGCTGGGGTCTTCCCCACATCAAGGACAAGGTGAATGCCCAGATGCAAACCATCTGTCCCGAGGGTCCCGTAGTTATATATGTGTAAGACCAAATCCCAACTCTGACCTGAAAGGAGAGGTACCCCACCCTGGACTCCCAGAGTCCAGAGTGCCCCAACAGAGTTGGCAAAGAAAAGGCCATTGTCAAGGGGAAGGGGCCTGAGCAGTGAAGTTCCATCCCCACGGGCACTTTGCACGGTGTGCTGCAGCATCTAGGGTGAGAGGCTGAGGCCAGCATGAAGCAGATCCACACAGATAGGCAAGTGCCTCAGTAGTAGAAACTCAGCCCATGTGTACAGAAGAGAACCCCGCTTCAACCAGGCTAGAGCAGGAGGTGGGGGTATGGACAGACAGACAGATGCCCAAGGACCCAGCAACAGCCCAGCCAGGGACAGTCCGGCCAGGGACGGGTGTGTACTAGTCAGGGTTCTCTAAAGAAACAGAACCGGTAGAATGAATATATACATACATACATATACATATATATATATACATATATGTGTGTGTGTGTGTGTATGTGTGTGTGTGGATGGATTTATCAGCTTAGCTCACAGGATAGAGTCCAAGTAGTCCAACAATGGCTGCACCACACTGGAGAGGCTGAGAATCCATAATTGCTCAGTCCACAAGGCTGGATGTCTCAGTAGTCCCAATCTGGTGCTGAAGGTCTGACGAATTCCAAAAGATCAGCTAGTCTTCAGTCTACAGCAGCAAGACGAACTCACCAGTGAGAGAGAAGGCAAGCAGCAAGAAGCCCCGCATTCTCCTCTGCCGTGGCCTTTTATACAGGCTGCCATCAGAAGGTGACACCCACATTTAGGGTGTGTCTTCCAGCTTCAGATGATCCAATCAAGAAGATCCAGTCAAGTTGACACCCAGGATTAGCCATCACACAGTGTCTCCTGTAGCCACTGAATCCTCACTGCATCCCCCTAGACAGCCTTTGCTAACTCGGCACCCGGGTCCGGCCGAGGGTTCCAACCCTTCCTGCTGCCCTTCTGGGCTCTCCGAGAGGACTGCCTATCTTAGAGGGAGCATGCTCCACAGAGGCCATGTGGAACAGAGGAGGAAGCCAAAGAGTGCTGCCCACACTTGTCCACCCAGAGCCCATGAACCAGGCCTCACTTGGAAATAAGGTCTTTGTTGATGCAGTCAAGGTTATACCATACCAAGCCCTAGGTAACTAGTGACCAACATAGAAGGAGAAGCAAGCCACGGACATGAGGAACTGCTGGTAAGCCAGAAAAGGGGTTAATTCTCCCCCAGGATGCGCAGGGAAGCTGGTCCTGCTACACCGGACCACGGACGTCAGCCTCCAGAACAGAGGAAGGATAAAGGTCTCTCTTTTTAAGCCACCTTGTTTATGGTCACTTGTTTTGACAGCCCCGGGAGATTTCCTGCAAGTGAACAGCCTCTGCTGGGCCTGGTGGGACACACCTACAATCTCAACACTCTGGAGGTAGAGGCAGGAAGATCAGGTGTTTAGGGCTAATCTCAGTTATATAGGGAGTTCAAGGCCAGGCTACAAAGTAGAAACGAAGTCTTAAAAAGTAAAGCAGCCCCAGCCCCAGCTCCACCCCACTGACCAGACCAGCTTAGGGACTGGATTTTCCCTGAGTGCCTAGCCCTCACACCCCAGGGTGAACAAGGCTGCAACTATCACAGACACACACCAGCCCAGGGCAGCTGTGGTGAGACAAGGCAGACACCATCAGGCAGAGCGAGGGTACCCGTGACTTCCAACACTGCTGGGCACCTCTGACCATGACCACAGACCTTCCCTGGCATGAGACTTGGACCCTGTAGGTCCACGGGATCCAAGTCTCACATCCACCGTTTACTGCCTAGGAGAGCGGACCGGGCAGCCAGTGGTGGCGCGGGTGGTAATGTGGCATTTGAGTTTTCCTCCTGGAAGCAGTGTTACGGAGAGAGCCTGTACTGTGCTCCTTACCCAAAACTGGCACAGTATCACTGCCTTGCAGGGAGAGCAAGCCACCAGCCCCTGGGCATGGAGAGGACAGCACTGTGGCTATCTCGAATTCCGTGAGCACTGTGAAGCTCCCTGCTGGCCTCATGGACACATCTGGAATACCCAGTCTTACATACTCATGAAGATCCCACATAGTGAATGAGGGGCAGCCAGGCACCTGCTCCACCTGGGACTTGGCTTCTGCACTGTGGTGATGTCACCATCCTGTGCGTGGCCAGAGGACACGTCACCTTGACAGGGCTCCCATTCTCTGCCTAGGGATGTACCTGGAAGGTTCCCCCTCGGGACTGTGCAGTGGACTGGAGTGTGTCTGGTTTCAGACCACCTCTGTTCATGGTCACTGAGGTCGCTCCCCCCATCAGCACTTTGAGACTTCTTCCCACAGAGCTGTGACAGCTGATGGACTGGCACACGGAGAGCTGCAGCTGCCTCAGGGTGAGCATGCTGGGTGTGCCCTCTTGCACACCCTCCTGCAACTCATGATCAAGTCTGCCTAGGCCCAGACAGCCCACAAGCTGGGAAAGGTGAAGAAGGGCATGAAAGTCAGGGGCTGTGTCCCTGAGAAAGGTGGTTAGGAGTCATCCCAGGGGCCTGACAACCTGCCACTTCTCTCCTAAGCCCCACTTCACTGTGCAATTTACAGCCCATCAGTCACTCGTCCACCTTGTGAGAGACCGTGCGTGTTCTTAAGAGACTTTAAACTTAGCTCCTGGCTGGGTTGTTTTGTACGCTGACAGCTTTCACGTGTGTGTGCAGGACCGACCATCTCCAGGCATCAAGACCTTATGTTGACACTGCAGGAGCCTGACCTCCTCAGCAATCCCCATTGGTCCAGCCTAATCCTCAGGATGAAAACCAGGAGCCTGCAGTCCTCAGAGGCCTTCTGCTGCTCCTCCAGGAAGATCTCAAATGATGTTTGCACGGTCAGGCCTGCAGTTCCAGTTGGTCAGCAAATCGAAGGGACAGATTAAGGAAGGAGCCTTCTGCTACCTGAATCACGGCCCCAGCTCTGCAGAAGAGCAGTCGCCCTGGCCCTGATCACCCCACAGAGCAACTCCTGATGGAGATGGGAGGGGCAGGGCAAAAGACCAGGATGTCAGTGGTCAAGGCTCCAGGGAAGGCACCCCACATCACAACCACATCAGTGCTGTTGACCGCCTGCCCTCCCTCCGCAAAGCAGGAGACCCTAAGATGACCTTGGTCATCTCTGCTGGGACTCTGTCTGGATAGGAGGCAGGGGGGGGGCTCACCCCTGCAGGGGGCCCTACGACTGTTCTCTGTGAAAGGGAATGTCCCCCATGGCCAGGTATAACAGGATGCAGCCTTGAAGCCCACAGGGTCAGGACCATCATGGTGGACCACGACAGCTTGACCTGCTCTAGGCATGCACCTCATCCAAGGCCCTGAGGTCCTCAGATCACTGCCAGCTCCCACTGGGAACAAGGAGACAAGGTGCCCTGGTGGGGCACCCAGCACCAGGCCTGTAGTTTGCTGTAATGAGTGTAAAGGACGCCTCGAAGCCCAGCCTGGAACATTCTCGGTGACTTGTTGGTTTTTCACCACAGGTGTAGTTCTCTCATGTCACCCTAAAGTGCCCAGACACAGGCTCCCAGCAGAATCGAGCCTCTGGCCCCGCTGTGCCGAGTCTGTGACCAGGGCCCTCCTGGCAAGGTTGTGGCCCTTATGTGGTGATCCAATGGTGCTCAAAGCCTACAACCTTCCCTTGCCCAACCCAACCCGGCCACTGAGTTCCACAGAGGCCAAGCCTCCAGGAACTCTCTGGGCCTCATCCACACTCCCATCGATTCTCATGGCCAAGCACTTGAAGGTGAGTGGCCTGGGCCTGTCACACAGCCAGGAGGAGGCCTTCATATATCACTGCTGGTGCCCCGGCTGTAGGTGGCTGGATTCTTGCACGTCTCCAGTCTTCCAGCTCTTTTGGAAGACCTCATGGAAGGAGGTGGCTGCAACAGAGGGGGTGTGGCCATTCATTACCTGACCAATCCGTGAGGGGCAGACACTCACCTGATAAGACGAGAAAACACAGGCAGCTGTAGGCCCAGGCGTGTGGAGTGGACTGTGAGGGGACACAGTGCCTGACGCTCATCGTCATCTCGTCAGGAAAGACCAGCAGAAGGCAGCTGAGAGCCAACAGCCCAGACCAAAGGTCCCAAGCCTCCTCCCTGAAGGACCAGACAGTGGGCGCCCAGGCCCTCCAGGCCTGCGGTCTCTCCTACCATCTCCTGGCCCTTCTTCGAGGCTGAGCAGGACCTGGCCATTGCCTGCAGACTGCTGGGATCAGCACTGGTCTGGAATTAACCGGATGTCAGAGGGGCCATGATGATCGCCTGTATGGGTTCCCCCAGCCACAGGGCACCCTTTCCCTCTTGGTACCTCTTTGGGGGGAATCTCACTGCCTATCTTCACAGCTGCCTGCCTTTACCAACAGCTGTTACGGCTCCTCCAGGGATTCAGCTGGTGGGTCAGCTCCTCATAAACCACCATTGCCAACTGGCTTCCGAGGTATTTTGAAGACTTGGCTGCCCTAAGTACTCGCTGAACAGGGAACTACCAGACCTCAGGAATGAGCAAAGCTTGTCTAAAAGAACTCAGGCTTGTACACAGAATGTTCCAGATGCCTGTTTCTACTGTATGACAAGAGGGCCACCGTGGGAGGCGCCCACAGGCAGGACTCCACACAAGCTTCATCCTGACCCAGGGCATCTTGCAAAAAGTACAGCAGGGGACAGCTGGGGCATTTCCCACGTGCTTGTGTAGAATGGGGCGGGAGGTGGGGGGAGCACTGAAGTCTCAGTGAATGGGGGCCCGGCATCCTGATGGCACTAGACATAACCTTGTGCCTGGTCTTGAGGTCTCAGACTGACCAGAGCAAAGCTGGACATCAAGATGATGCTGGGATGGGCTTTGGTTTTCAAGTTTAGTAAAAAATTGTGCTTTAATTTGGGGGGGGGCACATTTTTCATTTCCAAAGACCACATAAGCCTTGGGCTCTCTTTAGCTATGGCTGGGACTGATGTAGACAAGGAGAATAAATGGAAAGTTCCCTGCACGGCTGGTGTTGAGAAATCTGGGGTCCTACCATTCTGCCTGGCTCATCAACATCCCAGCCATGGGTGCAGGGAGCTTGCCTTGGGAATGGCTTTTAGTTCCAAAAGAACCATACTTCTGAGTTTCTGTGTGAATGTGCATGCACGTGTCTGTGTGTGTGTGTGTGTGTACGTGTGTGTGTATGTGTGTGTGTGCGTGTGTACGCACACCCGATGGCACAGGTCCGTAATCCCGGCCCTCAGGAAAGTGACACAGGAAGTACACACGTTAGAGGCCACTCTGGGCTATACAGCGAGACCCTGGCTCAAATAATAGAGTAATAATGATTCCAAAGTAAGTTAACACTAGCAATAACAAATTCCACTTATCAGACCTGAAGTTGATGGCACCCCGGGTCCTGGGTGGTGTAGTGCTTCCCAGCGGGCAGGCCAGTTGCCGAGGTTTCCTACCGCCATCTTTGCCCATGTACACCCCTCAGGCAGGTGAGGTCTAGGGCATGTGGGGACGCCCTAGTGAGGTGCATGGAGAAACATGTGCTTGGCCTCATGAGATAGCCTGCCGACTACTCTAGGCACAGGAGACGTGGCTGCACGCTTACGTTCCTTTAACCCCACCCCTGACTGGCACAAGCCACTCCAACCCTCACCTTACCTTCCAGATAAACCGGAAGAGATAGTCCCGGCCTCCAAGCCCTCCCGGACTGCGGAAAATGTGGCTGTGGAGTCGAGGGTGGCGACCATCAAGCAGCGGCCCACCAGCCGGTGCTTCCCGGCAGCCTCGGACATGAACGTGAGTCACCGTGCCCTAGACTGGGGGTAGGGCTTGGGATGGCCTGGCTGGTGAATAGAGGGTACCACATGAAAGGGAAAGGCCAGTTCATGGATCCACTTTCATGAGCCTTCACTATGCCGGTTTGAAGCCCGTTTTCAGCTGGCCGTGGGTGAGCACCCTGGCCCAGTGCAGATGGCCGTGGGGCCCTGACCAGACCAGAGTGTGACCTTCGCCTCTCTTGTCCTGCTACCTTTACCTGGGCTTAACCACACAGCCCCAAACCTTGAGGGTGTCCCTCCATGTACCCAGCCAAGAAGCTACAGACATAAGAGGCTATGGGAATGCTCCTCGGACAGTGCTCCTCCCTTACCCAGAACCTCACACACTGTGGTCCTCTACAGCAGGCAAAGGCCTCTACACACAGCTGGCCGATGCTCTGAGGTGGGATGATGACAGTGTGCCATGCCCGTGTGTCCGGGGCACTGTTGGTGCTAGTCCTGTCACCCCAGGCATCAGGACAGTCCCAAGAAGGAGGTAACAGAGGTTGCTCAGGAGCCTAGGAATACATCCTGGATTAGACAAGGCCTTTGTGCCCCGCCCCCACCGCACCGTTACCTCCCTCTGTTTTCTGGTCACCATCACAGCCCTGGGTGTCCCTCCGAGGGCCAGGTCTGAGAACTGGGTCTCCCACAACAGGGCTCAGTACTTTTTGACTTACTTTTAAATCAACTTAGTTTAATCTAGCCCTTTTAAACAGTAACACCCACAACTGCCATACATTTGGTAAGAGTTTATATAATATACAATAAAACAAAAAGGATTGGAATTGGAGCATTTGCCTCAGTTCTTCTCCTCCCACAGAACCCCATAGGGTGGCATCCTAGCCCATGCCATATCCACACCTACCTTGATACTTCCAATGGGACGGATGGCTTTGGCCTCCCGGAGGCCAGTATCCCGCCTGCCTTCCCTAGTCTGGGACTTCAGAGAGAGATGGGCAGAAGTCCTGGAGCCCCAGTGGACCTTATCCCCACCTGGAGTTGTCACCTCAGCCTCTGAATTTTCCCACATCTCCCCCAGGGTTGGGAGCATGGCTGGCCCTCCATCTCAGACTGGCAGGCAATGCAACACAGGTGTGAAGCGGACTGGAGGATGCCACCTTCAGATCAGAGAAAGGACAGGGCTGAGGGAGGAGGCTGGGACAGTCCACTGCCTTCTCCATGCCACGTTCCAGGGTCGTCTGGTAGTTCTTCCTGGCTGCTAGGGCAGGCATTCCACTCACCTGCCACCTAGCTACCTCCTCATGGCCGAAGAGTGAAAACAGGATCCCACTCAGGACTTGGCCAAGGTCACAGGGCACTTAAGCAACCAGGGCACAGCCCGGGTCAGACCCCACTGCAGTGTGCCATACACCTTCCCACGACCCACTCACTCTCTCTGAGACTCTTCTGCTCTCTGTCTGGTGAACGGTGTCTCAGCAGATGGTGGCTGCCTGGAGCTGGGCATGCTGGTGTCGTATGCCATGGGAATTGGGGGGAAAGGAACTTGGAGAGGCACGGCCTGGAGAAGCCTGCTAATGGGTCCTGTTGCCTCTGGCCCGTTGCCGTGGGTGGGGCTCCCAGGACCTCATCTCACCCCACTCTCTGGTTTGCAGTCTGTGTACGAGCGCCAAGGGATCGCTGTGATGACGCCCACCGTCCCCGGGAGCCCGAAAGGCCCATTTCTGGGCCTCCCTCGAGGTAGGATGCGAAGGCAGAAATCGATAGGTAAGAAGCGTGACCCCCACCCGAAGACGTTGCCCTTGGCTTCCCAATGTATCCCTCAGAGCTCCTCAGGAGTCCTGGGCATCTGCCTAGCCTTGCCCCACCGGGCCCACCCACCAGAGGGCAGGTGCCCAGCCTCTCCTAACAGGCTTTCCCTTGAACATGGTGGAATATGAAACCTTCCTCTAGGATGGTTTCCCTAATCTGGTGGCAGTAGAGGTGGGCCGGGGGGGTGGTCAGGGTAGAGGGCAGGCAGGGTGGGAAGGCCCCTCCAGTCCCCATTTCATAGACTGAGCTCAAGGGTTGTGCTTCTCCGGGTGACTGGTCAGGTCTGGACCGCTGATGAGCCGTGCACTGTGTGTTAGAAAGCAGCTTGCTTTCCCCGCTAACACCCCGTTTCCCTCACTGACTCGGACAGGCCAAGGTAAACTTGACCACTCGAGACAGAAAAATAAAAAACCCAGCGTGGTCTTTACCACATGAACTCTGGAAGCCCGGGCCACTGCTGGACCCAGTGGAGCCTTGCCACGTAAAGAGGGTGTGTGCAGCTTCCCGGAGCCTTCCCGGGGCCTCACCAGGGCAAGGAACACCATTCTGTGTGTTCCGGAAGCTTCTCCTGGCAATGCTGCCAGAAGCGTGGCATGTCTGCTTTTAGTTGGAGGAGGAGGCAGGAGGCGGCATCTAGGTAGTGACCACCACGGTGGCATCTGCAGCTCGGACAGTTGGCCCACCCCTGGCTTGCTCAGGGCAGAGCTGCATATACACCTTGTCATATCTCTGGATCTTTCTGGCTAATAACAGTTGATTTCCTCCTGTCAGACAGCAGAATCTTTCTATCAGGTCAGTGAACCCTCTGGTTTGGAATCTGTAATGTGAATGCATCCCAGTTTACTTTATAAGGGGTATTCTTAAATTATCACTCCTTGGGACTGTTGCCGTTACGTGGTAATGCACAGTGAATGGTCCTCAAGACCTCTCCATCAGCAGCTGACCTCTGAGACTCTAAATTATCCACCCACAGGAGTATGTTCAATTTGGAATACCCTTATCAAACGGAAGTTCTTATGGAATAAATGACTGTAGTTTGTCCTAGGAATTTTTTTTCAAGTAGTTCATTTTGCTGCCTCTTTGAAAACCCGCATGTCCCCGTGTGAGAACCTGTCCTTGGTGTCCACCGTGTCTGCTGCTTCTGTCTGTCCGTGTCCTAGGCTGTCCTATGGTCTACTGTCACACCAGCTGACACATCCAGAGAGACAGCTCAGGTTTCACTGTGTGGCCTCAGTCACATCCCCGCTCCTGATCATGATCACACACACACACACGCACACACACACACACACACACACACACGCACACACACACACACACACACACGCACACACACACACACACACACACGCACACACACACACACACACACACGCACACACACACACACACACACACGCACACACACACACACACACACACGCACACACACACACACACACACACGCACACACACACACACACACACACGCACACACACACACACACACACACGCACACACACACACACACACACACGCACACACACACACACACACACACGCACACACACTTCCACCAGTCAGGTCTCAGAATGTGGCCCTGACCTGGTACCAAGTTAGCCGGGCCTGGTTAATGACCCACCATAGCTGGCGCCTTCTGCAGAGGGTCCGGTGAACCCATGGCAAAGCTTCTGTGGGGCTCGGCAGCCGGAGCGGAAGGCTGAACCGCCTTTCTCAGCTGTTGTGGCCTGAGACTGGGTGGAGAGGCAAGACTCCCTCCTCTCACAAGCATGGGCCAGACCAGTACGGCCCCTCCTCTGAGCCAGCCAGGGACGTCACAGCCATCTGCTGAGGACTGAGACGTTCTGACATACACAGAGCCCTCAGCGTGGCCCTGATAAATCAGGTGACAAAACAGGTCGGAGTCCCCTCGCACAAGAACACCACGGCGCTAGCAGTACCTCCCCTCGGCACACACAGGCCACTGCTGGGCAGATACCTCTGCCTAGAAACTGGGCAGGAACGACGGCAGCCCAGACCGTGCACCATTTGCCACCCAGGCATCTCCTGAGAGAGGAGGGTGAAAGCTCAGACCCTCAGGGGCCCTCACTCATCAGGCCTGAGAGGGGCATAGCCGCCCAGCACCAGTGTTAGCATCCATGCACTCAAGCTGTGTCCTTGGAATCAGGTGGCCAGAGCTTGGCCTGAGGGCCACATACAGTCCAGTATCCGGCCCTGGTCTCACCCTAGACACTACATGGACTACATGGTCCCCTAGAGAACAGGTTCCCGCATGTGCTCACCACATCCCCCAACTCCTTTCTGTGTTTCGGGCTCCCAAGTGGGTGTGTAACTAACCCGGCTTTGTGGCTTGTGCTGTGCTTCCTAACAAGTGTCTGGTTTGGGAGTCTGTGGAACACGGTGTATTACTTAGGAAGACCTCGGTAGGCTTAGGTGGCTGCTGGGATTTACAACGGCGGTTTTTTCCTACTTGTAGGGATAACGGAGGAAGAGAGACAGTTTCTGGCTCCCCCGATGCTGAAGTTCACCCGAAGTTTGTCCATGCCGGACACCTCCGAGGACATACCCCCTCCACCACAGTCTGTGCCCCCGTCGCCCCCTCCACCATCCCCCACCACCTACAATTGTCCCAAGTCCCCGACTCCGAGAGTCTATGGGACAATTAAGCCTGCGTTCAGCCAGAACCCCGCCAAGGTGTCCCCGGCCACCAGGTCCGACACGGTGGCCACCGTGATGAGGGAGAAGGGCATGTTCTACAGGAGGGAGCTCGACCGCTTCTCCCTGGATTCAGAGGATGTCTACAGCCGCAGCACCACCCCGCAGGCCGCCTTCCGCACCAAGCGGGGCCAGATGCCCGAGAATCCGTACTCGGAGGTGGGGAAGATCGCCAGCAGGGCTGTCTACGTCCCTGCCAAGCCAGCCAGGCGGAAGGGCATGCTGGTGAAGCAGTCCAACGTGGAGGACAGCCCCGAGAAGACCTGCTCCATCCCCATCCCCACCATCATCGTCAAGGAACCTTCTACCAGCAGCAGCGGCAAAAGCAGCCAGGGCAGCAGCATGGAGATCGACCCCCAGACCACCGAGCCGGGCCAGCTGCGGCCGGACGACAGCCTCACCGTCAGCAGCCCCTTCGCCGCAGCCATCGCCGGGGCCGTGCGGGACCGGGAGAAGCGGCTGGAAGCCAGGAGGAACTCTCCGGCCTTCCTCTCCACCGACCTGGGAGACGAGGATGTGGGTCTGGGGCCCCCCGCCCCCCGGATGCGACCCTCCAAGTTCCCCGAGGAGGGCGGGTTCGGTGACGAGGATGGCGCCGAGCAGCCGCTCTCGCCCACCCCCAGGGCGGCGCCCAGGGAGCTGGAGAACCACTTCCTGGGTGCCGGTGAGGCCGGTGCTCAGGGGGAGACCGGGAGGCCCCTGAATTCCACATCCAAAGCCAAGGGCCCCGAGAGCGGCCTGCCGGCTGCCCCCAAGAGCGGCAGCCCAGCCGGCCCCGAGAACTACGTCCACCCGCTCACCGGGCGGCTGCTCGACCCCAGCTCCCCGCTGGCCCTGGCCCTGTCGGCCAGGGACCGAGCCATGCAGGAGTCCCAGCAGGGGCCCAAGGGGGAGGCCCCCAAGGCTGACCTCAAACCCCTCTACATCGATACCAAAATGCGGCCCGGCGTGGAGTCCGGCTTCCCGCCGGTCACCAGGCAGAACACCCGGGGGCCCCTGCGGCGGCAGGAGACGGAGAACAAGTACGAGACGGAGCTGGGCAAGGACCGGAGGGCCGAAGACAAGAAAAACATGCTGATCAACATCGTGGACACGGCCCAGCAGAAGTCAGCCGGCCTGCTGATGGTGCACACGGTGGACGTGGTCAAGGCAGGGCCCCCGCTGGAGGAAGAGGAGGAGCAAGAGGACGGGGACACGAAGCCAGAACTCTCAGCCTCCACAGTGCCGGAAGGCGTTTCCGAAACCGAAGGTGCTTTACAGATCGCCGCCGCCCCAGAGCCCAACGCCACCGCCACGCCCAGCAGGACCATGGTGGCAGCGGGCTCCGTGGAAGAGGCGGTGATCCTGCCATTCCGAATCCCTCCTCCCCCCCTGGCATCCGTGGACCTGGATGAGGACTTTATTTTTACAGAGCCATTGCCTCCTCCCCTGGAATTTGCAAATAGTTTTGATATCCCCGACGACCGAGCTGCTTCTGTCCCCGCTCTCACTGACCTGGCCAAGCAAAAGAAAAACGACACCCCTCAGCCCCCTTCCTTGAACCCCAGCCAGCCAGCTAACTCCACAGACGGCAAGAAGCCATCCGGCCTTTCAAACTGTCTGCCTGCCTCCTACCTGCCACCGCCCGAGAGCTTCGACGCCATCACCGACTCCGGGATCGAGGAGGTGGACAGCCGGAGCAGCAGCGACCACCATCTCGAGACCACCAGTACCATCTCCACCGTGTCCAGCATCTCCACGCTGTCCTCCGAGGGCGGGGAGAGCATGGATCCATGCACAGTCTATGCAGACGGGCAAGCCTTTGTGGTCGACAAGCCCCCAGTACCTCCAAAGCCAAAAATGAAGCCTCTCGTTCACAAAAGCAACGCACTTTATCAAGACGCGCTCCCAGAAGAGGATGCAGACGGCTTCGTGATCCCTCCGCCCGCACCCCCGCCCCCACCGGGCAGTGCCCAGGCTGTCGTGGCAAAGGTCATCCAGCCAAGGACCTCCAAATTGTGGGGTGATGTCACGGAGGTCAAAAGCCCGATTCTCTCAGGCCCAAAGGCAAATGTCATTAGTGAATTGAACTCCATCCTACAGCAGATGAACAGGGAGAAATCAGCCAAGCCCGGAGAAGGGCTGGAGCTGCCAGTGGGAGCCAAGTCAGCCAGCCTCGCTCCAAGGTAAGTGTGCAGTCAGCGTGGGGACGTGTGGTCCAGTGCTGGCCAGGAGAATCCACCAGGGATGCACCCACGCAGACAAGAAGAGGGACCCATATCACTTCTGCCATCCCCGTTAGGCCAAAACTTCAACTTCACCATCCTACTGAAACCCGGGACGGCAGAGTCAACCCGTCCTGCAGCCCATGGTACACCCTCCTAGAGACTCCTAATGAAACTGGGTTGCACAGAGTGAGGTCATGGTGGCTTCCAGAGGGCAGCTGGGGTCTCAGTTCCGTACCCTCCAGCCCTCTGCCAGGACCACCTTGAAGGCAGGCAGAGCCCTGCTGAAGCCCCAGTGGTCCACTGCAGAGTAACCAGGCTGAACAGAGGTGGTCAGAGTGGGGGCGGGCACGCCGGGTATCTGAACAGCAGCGCGTTGTCCCCTCTCCCTCCCTCACCAGTGGGTCTGAGGGTTAGGGATGCACTGGTCATGGCTCAGAATGATCACGTGCCCCTTGGCTGTACCATCCTACCCTGGAGCCGTCGGTACCATCCTACCCTGGAGCCGTTGTCACTAAGGAATCCCTGCCGTTAGGTCCCAGCCAGCCTGTCTCAGAGCCATACAGGGTTTAACGAGTTTCCAATGTTGGAATAGGAATAGAATACGTGAGGGGTCCTCGCTACACCCAACCAGAAGGCTCTAGAACAGCCACCTGAATGTGTAGCTTCAGGATGGTGCTCCTGAGCCCCTCGGGCCCCTTGCTCATAGCTCTCCTTGTGGTCACTGCACGTGCTACTTTTCTGCTCCTGAGTGGGGTGTTCAGCTTCCGCTGATGGCTGAGCTCTGGCTTCGTCATTTTGACTAATGAAGTCTGTCTGCACTTTCCCGCCGAGCAGGCATCTGATTCAAACAACCAAGTCCATTAATCAGAGATAGCACACTGCATCTGGGTGTTGAGGTGTGGGCTGCCAGCAACAATTCTCCCCAATACCTTTCAGAGTGGATGTAAATGAACGACTTGGATGGGGCTCCCACTACTACTCAGAGGAATATCGATTGGCACTGTTATAAAGACGTGTGGCTGCCTCTTAACAGTGCCCTCACCACCACCCCCTCCCAGCTACCGGTGCTGGGCAGACAGCACCTCCAGGTGGATAGGAGCTCCGTGCGTCCCCAAGCATGCTCTGTGGTGCTCCAGCACTAGCTCAGGGAATGACTGGAGCATCTCCCCATGCTGGCGGATGTAGTCACATATACTCGCACCTGAAAAGTGTGTATGTATGCCCGCGTCCCAAGGATACTTGGCAGGACTCGTATAATAATGCAGTCCTTTATGGTACATCATTTTCTGAAAGTGATGACTGAATTCCACATTTTACGAGACACAGTCACAATTGGAATGGTGTTTATGAAAGCTGGGCAAAAGGCCCAATTAGGCCCATTCTTCAGAAAGACTAAGTGGTCAGCCACAGCTGCCAATATCCAGGGCCAGAACTTAGGCCAGGCCTTGCCAGCCTCTTTTCCCCGAGTTAGCTCTGTCTCCAGCAGGATAGAAACAGAGAGAGAGCAAGCCCAAGACTGCTCAGTCACTGTGCAGGCCAGGGGCAGCCCACCTGAGTCAGGATCCTCAGAGCACGTCCACCCCGCAAGCCCCAGGCCCCATGCATGGACTTCCTGATCCCCCGTTCTCGTTTCTTTCTGGTGGCTCCTAGCAGAGTGGGACGTGCGTCTTGCCTTTTCTAGGTGGGATGTGGGTCAGGGAGGGCCTCAGGCCATTGTGGCAGAGTCCTGGTGGCCAGGAACGGCCGCCTCCCAGCCGCTCTGTTCATGTCAAGCAGCTTTACCCAACCTCTGCCCAGCACCTCCAGACTCCAGTGTCCTGTGGCACCAGCACCAGCAGCAGAGCGGGGGAGCACAGACGGAAAATAGCCATCAGAGCCACGAAGCAAAGAACCAAGGGGACCCGGTGAGATGGTACAAAGCCAGCGGCCCACTCAGGAGCTGGCTCGGGTTCCACTCCTGGGCTAGGGCTGGAGATTGCCTCAGGAGGCAGGGCCCACCGCTAGTGACGGTCTGCGAGGCAGAGCTCCTGGAGACAGGGTCTGCTGGCCGACCTGGGACTCCCTTGAGCCGTCTGGGCATTCTGTGGCAACAGATGCTGTCTCTGAGTGTGATGTCATCAGCACTACTGAGAAGCCAGCGCTGTGCCCAGTCTCCCCTCGAAACCAAGGGTTACACTCATGCTTGGAGAAAGAACAAGATGACCCAAGGCCAGAAGGCAGAGAGAAGTCTGCTGACCTCAGATGGTACTGGAAACACATTCTCTAGCCTTCCTTTTCAGATCTAAGGACTGACCAGGCTGGGGAAGGAGAGGAGCACAGGCTGTGGTGATAATCCACGGAGCTGCGAAAACATCCCATGTGACCATCAGAGGTGACCAAGCTCTGCCGCTCACATGTCTTGGGCACGTCTCTCTGTTGCCTTCACTGACAGGCCTGGGGTGACTCCCTCAGGGAGCACTTAGCCTGGGTGCATTTGAAAATTAAGAGTTGGCAGTGGGCAAAGGGAGGCTCAAAATCCAATGAGGGACTTCCTAGTGACCAAAAAGAAATGAGGGTTGGGAGGGGACTGGAAACCAGCCACGCTTTCTGGAATGACTCAAGCGATGACAGGAAACATTTCCACAGGAGCGACTGTGGCCACCACACAGAGGGGACAGTTCTGAGTGTTCCTCAGTTGTCCACCCACCAAGTGGGCAGAGGCTTCAGGGAACTTGGTCCTCTGAAATAAAGTGCCTTTCACTGCTGGATCCTCTCGACAGCTCTGAGAAACTCTGCCTCATGACGTGCCAACCCCGGAATGGAGCTGGAGTGGGAGTTTGCATCCTCAGTGCTAGCAATCTGACCGGTAGAGTTTCAGCTTCTCAAACTGCCCAAAATCAGGACAACATGAGATTTAGACACATTTGATTATAAATGTGTTGTTGAAAGGGAGCCATTCAGGGAACTTTCTTTAGTAGATGGTGTGAGGCACAGCACTTGAGCCTAATCTGAATTCCTTGGAGACGCGGGGCTGTTCTGGCCACAGGCCTGATAATACCAGTGCATTCCCACCATTGGAAAGTCAAACCAAGTCAAAGTGAAGAAAAGAAACTGTAAGGTAGGGTCCGCATCTAAAGTCACTGTCTCTACCTTTCAGCAGAACCCCAGGGCAGCAAACCCTACCCACAGGCCTCTCCCATTTGGTCCACTGGCTGGGCCCCAGCATGGAGCCCACTGCTCAGCATCTCTCCCCTCCCCTAGGAGCCCAGAGCTCAGAGGATGGCTCCACCAATGCCCACCTCAGTCTCTGAGCTCTCCCTCCAGGATGGATATGCAAAGGCATCATGGGCAACCCTGGGATGTCCTTCAACTGGATGGGCCCTTTGACTTTCAGGGGACTCTTGTCACACTTAGGTGTCCTGGTTAAAGTGGTGTGGCTGGACCCACAGCCCAGCGGTGGGCTCCCAAGTTCACAGCATGGTAAGGGGTTGGCTAAGCTGCTGTAACTGTCTATAGCCTGAGAGAGGTTTCTAGAGAACTTACCATGGAGGACACCAGGGCCCTCCAAAGGCTGGGGAGATGTGACTACCGTTTGTCCATCCAGCTGTTATTGATGGCCTGTGTGCCCGATGCCATGCCATGCTCTGACTTCGCCACTCATCGAGAAAGCACTTCCCAAGCTCTTCCCTTGGGAAACTCCATGGGAAATGACCAGTGCTAAAGACAGACCAGGGTGTGGCAAGCACCACAGAGGTTAGCATGGCCCCATGCCAAAAGGAGCTGGCTGTCCAAGGAGGTGACATTTGAATGACTGGAGATACACAGAGGAGCCAGAAATCCTAGACATGGGGACAGTGAGTTCAAGGCTGATCAGAAAGTGCTCTCTGTGTGGAGGAGACGGGGACGCAGGATCTGATCTGAGGGGTGGAAGCCATCCACAGGCTTGCCACAGCTTGGCATGACTGGACCCCAGTTTCCTCTTCATTCCCAACGCTGCTGTGTGGTGATGTGGGCAGGACGCTTTTGTGGTCTGGGCCGAAAAAAGGAGGAGGGCCTGTGTGCGGTGCTGCAGACACTCAACAGGCCTAGGCTGCCTGCTTGGTAAACGTCAGCCCCCAACAGGCTGGCCGAGACCCAGGAACACAAGCGTCCTCTCTCCAGCTCTGCCGGGGTAACGGACAAATACCAGGCATCACTTAAAATGAAACCCTTCTTCCCTGGTATTTGTGGAAAAGCTCAGCTTCACATTTACTCTGCCTGGGGACAGAGGAGTGAGTGTGCACTTGAGGCAGGGGTCCCTGTGGCGCCTCGAAGAGGGCGTGGTGCATGCCGACTACCCTGTGACTGTACTTTGTGGTCAGTCCATAAGGGACCTAGAGTTTGGCTTTGCCTTGGAAGGAAGACAGTGGTCCTAAGGAAGTCCTGGTCCCTGAGGCCCTTGGGCAGGCTGCTTTCTAGTATCTGGGGGTACACTGCAGCCCCCTAGCTCCTGCTGCCCTCTAATGGGCCCTGTACCCGCTAACTGCAGCGTCTTCCGTCCTCAGCCCATGCCTCCTGGGCTGGCCAGCTCCCAACATCCCCTGTATTATCCAGAGTGTCTGTTCTGAAATAAATCAACCTGGGTTCTTAAAAAGCTGCCCTGACCAGCTGGTTCCAGGGTATAGGTTCCCAGCTGGCTGACAGCAGCAGCTCTGTGCTGCCCTCCACACTGCTGGGGGACGGGGCGTTAGGTACCTCCAGTGGTTTCAGCCTAAATGGGAAGGTGATGCCAGTGTGTAGTACTCAGTAAAGGGGTGGGGTCTCCTGGGGGCCATTTGCTGCCCCGGCTTGGTGCTAAGAAGACTAGGCCAACAGAGTCTCTTCCCTTGACCATCAAACAGCAGTTCTCCCTCCTCCATCTCATCCCCCCACCCCCTGCTTTGGCAAAGCACATCGCAGGTGAACAACTTCTCAGAAGGTAGGCCACCTTCCTGACTGCCAGTCTGTGAGCTCCTGGCAGTGAGATGGGACAGCATGGCTGCTGAGCCAGAGGCAGCTTCCTGGGCTGGGAAACAGGCACGGTACCCCACGGCTATTCCTTCAGCAGTTACATGCTGTACCCCCGATTCTGGACCATACCCTGAGGACTGAAGAGAGCAGGTCCCCTCACAGTTCTCGGAGCCCATGGTGACGTCACGGCCTGAGGATCTGAGGCACTGAGGGGTCCCAGCTACTGAGACAAGGCACAACACAAACATGGCCCTGGGGAGGCAGGGTGCTCATCCCATGGTACAGGCCCAGTGCCCCAGCTCTCTTTCCCGGGCCTGGAAAGGCAGAGCAAATTCATAAGAAAGCAATGTGATACCAGGTATAGATCTGCATACCTGTAATCCTGGATATTCTAAGCCAGCCTGGGCTATGTAATGAGTTCCAAGTTAACCAGGGATACAGAGTGAGACCCTATCTCAAAACAGCAAAGGGAAGGAGAGAGGAAAGAGGAATGGAGGGACAGGGACAGGGACAGAAGGAAGACAAGCAGTTTAGAAGTGGGGGCCTTGTGCAGAGGTGAGCCCGGAGGGAGGGTCGGGACCCAAAAGGGTTCCACCTTGCCCCAGCACCAGCACTGGCCAGCAAAGGACAGAAAAAGCACAGGGAGCGATGGTCAGCAAGGGACCCATGGCCCACATTGCTTCTCAGGGCCCAGCTGACCCTGTAAGGCCTGTCTCCCCAGCCTACCATCTCAGATCACTCTAGGACTGGTTTGGTTTTTTTGTTTTTTGTTTTTTGTGTTTTTTTGTTTTTTTTAATTCTCTTGCTTCTAAATGAATTTGATTTAAAAAGCAGGCTAGAGATGACCATCCCAGAGGTGAGTGTTTGTGAGTGTGTGTGTGTGTGTGTGTGTGTCTGTTCTAAATCAGGGTAACAGACTCCTGTGTGTGCACCCAGCAGCCCAGTGGTTGCTTAGCAACAATGATCTGCGTATGCGGGAGGATCCAGTGAGTCATGTCAGTGTGATTCACCAGGAGGAGGCAGGCTACCCAGAAGGCACAGGGCGCACCAACCAGCCAGGCCATCCTTGCTGCTTCAACTCCCAAAGCCTCCCTCTGCCGCAGCCATTCTGGGTGGGGCCCCAGTAGGCCCCAAGCACGGGCCAGGACCATCTCCTGAGGTCAGCTCTTGGACTACCTGCCATCTTGTGGCGTGGACTTGAAGCAAAGCCCTGAACTGGGCAGGTTGGCCTGGCCCGGTAACCTTGATTCATCCTTCCCAAGTTGAGAACACAGCTCCAGAAGCCACTGGGGAACTTCTCAGAGGCTCGGGCCGAAGCTGGCCTCTGTCCTCTCTCCTCCCTTTGTGCTCCACAGTACCCAACCAGAGCAGGCAAGCTGTGGGCTCCCCCAACCCCACCCCCAACCCCCACTCCCTGTGAGTGTGAGGCCTGTGGTGATTGCTGGGCTTCCAGGTCACCAGGCTGCCTGGCAGGAGGGGCCGAGGTGGGCCTCGAAGCCAGGGTCTGCCCACGTTGGCTCACGCGAGGAGGTACCCTTTCCTTGCCCCATTTTGTAGTCTTGTCTCATACTCCCCCATGTCGTTTCCACTTGCTCCCGTAGTGGTGGTTGCAGAAGAGGGTCGAGCTGAACAGAAGTAAGTGCTGCCTGCCGAGGTGCGTGTGCCTCCTCCCGTGTGTGCTCTCTCTGCTCCCACTGTCCACCAGGGCCTGGGAGAGCCTTCCCCCTGCCTCCCAAAAGCCAGTCCAGCCCAGGGCGCTGGGTCAGGGATACCACTGAGCCAGCCCAGCAGTCCTTAGGGAGACTGACATGCCAACCGGGTGGCTCCGAGCCCAGCGGTGGGTATGGAATCGTACACATCCCTCCTCTGCTCCGTCCGGTCTCACCTGCACCCACGTGCTCTTGCCTTCCTCCTGCTTCCCAGGGTCCTTGTCCATGGGACCCCCCACATCTGCATGAGGAATTGCCGCACGACCCCGCACATCTGCATGAGGAGTTGCCACATGCTCGTTTATCGAGTGGAATCAAGGGGTCTTCCCACACTGCAAAGGGACCTGGGCCACTGTAGCATTTGTCTGGGCTGGACCTGGAGTGGCCCATCCTCAAACTGAGAGGGACACAGCAGGTTCCACAGACACTTACCATGCCCCTGGCCCTCCTCCCCATGAGCTAGACCTAAACCTGTACCCTCGGTGCTCTACCCCTCCACCCCCGAACCTTTGAAGCCCAGCTGTCTTCCAGGGGCTTCGCCCTGGTCAGGTCTTGATACTTCATGGGCTGCCTGGGCCTGCCAAGGTAATCAGCAAACTGACACAACCAATCACAACCCACAACACAGGCTCTGTGGGCAAACTTTGATGGTCCGTATGTTCCCGCAGCCTCCGAAAGCTACCGACCGCAGCAGGCCTGGCATGCCACAGCAGTCATTTTTAGGTATGCGCCCCCTCCCCCACCTCCAGTAACCACCATTAACTCAACTGGGAACATACCCCAGGACTGAGGCACGCCTGGGTGGCCTCACTTAGACACACACAGCGGCCTGAGGGAAGGGCCTGGCAGCCTAAGGTCCAGGACCACAGCTCAGTGGCCTTGGACCCTCTTCCCTCACTCAAGGAGATCTTGGCCTACTAACATCTACGTGTCCTGCAAGAAGTGGACCCTAAGCCAGTGGTCCCCAAAGCCCAGTGGTCCCCAAAACTTAGTAATCCCCAAAGTGGGACCCTCACCATCCCTGGGGAGTTTAGATGGGCCAGACACTGTTTAGCCCTGCTGGGAGCCCTGTCCAGCATCTATGAGACCAACTCACCCCTCCCTTCCACCAGTTTACACAGAAGGCCATGAAAACGTGGGCTAAACCCTGAGCCAGGACACCAGCAGGTGCCTGTGTCTGTAGCCACCGGACTGTAGTTTGGGAACAGCAGAGCAAGCACCAGGGTTTGGAGGAAGGCTTGACCCTCCAGGGTGTGGCTGGAAAGTCTTCAGTAGGCCTGGCTGGTTTGGGGATGGAGATGCATTTCACCAAAAAGTCCTCCAGATAGGAGAGTGGAAACAGCCTTCCTGGGCACCCAATAGGACCTCCTCCCAGCAGGACTCCTTACCCCCACTGGGCCCAAGGAAGTGGGACCTACGAAGGTTAAGCCATCCCTCCCAGCTCCGAGGGCTTCACCTGCCCAGCCATAGAGGGGAGGGCCACTTTCCACCTGCAAGCAAGTCTCTCCATGGAGGGGGTGCATTGGTATACCCTAGGGCCTGCAGTGCTTGGCAGGGCCCACTGTGATGCAGACCCTCTGGAGAGGTTACACTGGCAACCCAGGTGCTCCACACCCTGAGCATCTGGGGAAAGAAGCAAACCCCAAGTCCTTTTGTGGCTGGGAGCTTCCACACACTGAGGCAAAACCCAAGGACTTTAAGCCAAAAGCAGACAGAGCCACCGCAGTTCCCTGAGAAAGAGGGTCATTCTCGAGGATGCGGATCACTTCTCAGGCTCATTTTGACTGGCAGCATGCCGTTACTTTGCCTCCTTGGGCGCCCACCCCTGCTCGGGCAGGCCCTCCCGGCCCCTCCCAGCCCAGCCCAGGTGAGTGGCTGACTTGCTGTGCTGTGTCTTCCGCTCCACCCACCTCTCCTGGCTGGCATGGCGGTCTGTGCTCACTGCCAGTGCGGACCCTCTGCTGTGGTGTGGGTGCCCGTCCTCCTCAGTGATCTGGCTGTGATGGTTCTCTCTGTTGTTGCGTTTCAGAAACCCGGAGGTCATGAGCACCGTCTCAGGAACACGGAGCACAACAGTCACCTTCACTGTCCGCCCCGGAGCCTCCCAACCCATTACCCTGCAGAGCCGGCCCCCCGACTATGAAAACAGGACCTCAGGAATGAGGCGTGCCCCAAGCCCTGTGGTCTCGCCAACAGAGCTGAGCAAAGAGATCCTGCCTACCCCTCCGCCCGTGGCTGCGGCCTCTCCCTCTCCCACGCTCTCAGATGTCTTCAGCCTTCCGAGTCAGTCCCCTGCAGGGGACCTATTTGGCTTGAACCCAGCAGGACGCAGCAGGTCACCATCTCCCTCGATACTACAGCAACCAATCTCAAATAAGCCTTTTACAACTAAACCTGTCCACCTGTGGACGAAGCCAGACGTGGCTGACTGGCTGGAAAGCCTGAACTTAGGTGAACACAAAGAGACCTTCATGGACAACGAGATTGACGGCAGTCACCTCCCGAACCTCCAGAAGGAGGACCTTATAGATCTGGGGGTAACTCGAGTAGGGCATAGGATGAACATAGAAAGGGCTTTGAAACAGCTGCTTGACAGATAAGGGTGACTGCCCCGGGCCTTCACAGACTTCTATGTTATAAGTAGAGATGGGCTTATGCTGAAATGTGTGGTGACCAAGCAGGGGCTGTGAGCACCAATCCCATCGCGTGGGTCTGTCTCTGGGTGCCCAAACAAGTGCTGAGGGTGTCCTCGGTGTGGCCGAGCCAAGGCCCCCAAACCCCAGCTGTCCACGTGAGTTTCTGTCCAAGGGTACGGGAGGGGGGTTTCTGTCCTGGTCCCAGAGGCTCCCAGATGACAGCATGGGGGACCCTCTTCTGTGGTCAGGCACCAGTGTGTTCCAGATACCTCCTGAGGCCTCCCTCTGCCCTCTGAGCAGCTCTAACCCCAAGGCCCTGGCACATGCCTTTCTTCAGGCCTGTGGCCTCTGGGTGGCCTCACTGGCTCCTGTCCCTCCCCATGTTCAGCTTGCAGTGGGTCTGGCAAGTTAGCAAAATGCTGTCCCAACTGCCTTTGTTGCCTGACTCCTGTGACGTGCATCTGAGCCACAAGGTCCTTGACCATAGTGGCTGTGTGGATGGGATCATGCCTAGCTCGTTTAGCTTTCTTTATTTCTGAAAATCCATTAGCATAATTCCAAGGTGGCCAAACTGACGACGTCACACGGTGTTAGTCAAAGCACAAAGTCAAGATCCTGAGGAGGAAGGCGGCCTGGCTGCAGAGTCGGCTGGAGTGTGGCGGCCGAGCCCACAGCTTCCTCCCGGACAAGAGCAGGTGTCCAGGAGCATCTGCCCAGGAGAGAGGTGGGGGCTCTGTGTCTCCCCAAACTTCTTTTAATTAGATGTTTGCTGAGCTCTGCAAAGATGGGAGTGGGTTAACATCCTCCCTGACACGAAGGCCAGGAAGACACACAGCTCGTGGTAAGCATGGCTGCCATGGTGGCGCTGTATCCTAGTGAGAGCTGGTGCAGTTGCCACTGCCTCCCTGCAGGCGGGGCCGAGGCTGAGCAGCCTGCCCGGGCAGTCCTTGGGTTCTAGAGGCCAGGAAGGTAGAATTTAGGGGCCTTTCTCCCGTCTCTCAGATGTTGGGAGATATCCCGACAGCTTGTCTTAATGGGATCTCGGAGGAGCCTGTGGTCAGGGGGTGTGGACAGGACCCGGGAGGAAGTGGGATGTGGGTTCATGTGGAAGGAAAGGGGAGCGTCCTGGACCACAGCCTCACCGCAGGCTCAATCATCGGAGCCTGTTCTCTTGCTCCCCAAGTCCCTCCCTTCCTACACGATACCTCTAACATCCCAGGGAGGCCGCCGACTGCACAGGGCCACCACACCGCCAGCCAGGCTCCCGCACTGTCCCCGCACTCAGAGGAGACAAATGGCAGGTACATGGTTTTGCTGCTGTTTCAGAACTGGCCCGGCCCATCTCTAATTATAAAACAGGAATATATTTTTTTCCTTTTTTTTTTTTTTTTTTTCCTTTTGCTCACGACCATGCATCTGGTGAGTTCTGGAACAACTAACTCTAGAATGAACACATAAAATTTAGCAACTTAAAAATCTCTTTCTTTACTGCAAGTTTAAATAGATGTACAGATAGTTTATAAGCACAATGTTTTAAGAAAAAAAAAGCAGCAGGTCAATTCAGCAACCTTTGTGCGACGTCAGTGCTAGAAAGTCAAAGGAAAAAGTAAACTTCTGTGATCTGACAAAGCTTTTCCATGAGATAGTTCCACAAGGCCGACTTCTTTGAAATCGACCTTCGGCAGACTCGTCTGGGCCTGCAGCAGTGTCTCTTTTTCTGTCTTTGCTAAAATTTTGCTGAAGGACAGTTACGTCTTCAAACAGGGTTCCAGTTCACAAGGCAGCAGTTCCTCGAAATACAAAACCAAACCGCACCCCCACGCACCTGCACCGTGCCCTTGATTCGGAAACCAGGCCTTTGACTCTTACTGTTCCAAAACCCTTTGCAGGTCCATCCGTCCTGATCTGCCAATCAACCTAGCGACTGGGAACCAGGTGAACGACAGGCACCCTGCTTTGTTTTGCTTTTCCGCCATAAGATGAACGAGGTCCGCTCTAGAGAAACTCCAGACACCACAGGCAGCAGGCGAGGTCTCAGAGAGAGGAGAGGTGGTCCTGCCACTCATTTGTCTTCCATTGGGTGGTTCCTCCAAGTCCCCTCAATGTACCACATCACCAGGCCCCTTTCCTTGGCCTCCGGTTGGCATTACCTCTGTGTTGGGTGCCAGGCAGACGCTGGGCAGGGGACCTGGTGGCTCTGGCCCTGCTAATCCTGGACAGCCAGCAGCAGGTTACTATTCCCTTAGACTTTTAGGCTACATGCCACTAAGCTGGAGCTGACCGCCAGCCTCCAACCAATGGGCCAGCTTTGCTTTGCAGTGTCTGGTCACAGATTGGACCTACCAGAACCCACCCAGACCAACCGAGCATGCGTGTTTCCAGGACAACTGGGTCTCCACCTCCGCCGGTTGGTTTTGCTAAGAAAGCAATACTCCCCCGTGAAACGGCCACCCACTGCTCCCCTCCCCCCTTTGGGACACATCAGGACAAGGCCCTACCCCGGGACCCTCTTCAGGGGTGGATCAGATGTTAAACTGCTCATGTGATCACTCTCCCAGGTTTTAAAATCAACTTTTGTTATATACTGTAATTTAAATAACTGCATTTACATGCCTAGTTTCTGTAATATTGTGTATACAAAACCAAAATCTCTCAAGCTGTAAATTGTGTATACCTGCCAGGATTCCCCTCCTCTGGGGTATCCCTGTGCATTTTAGGTTAATTCATACGATATAAAATGTGACTATTGACTTGCTGAACCTTTACATAAGAATTATTTGTGATACTTTAGTTAATAAAACAGTGACTTTTTTCCTCAGTTATTGAACAAGATATTACCCAGTTGACCTGGAACTAAACAGTGTCTTTTTTTGTGTGTTTTTGAACAAGATATTACCCAGGTGATGGAGATCTGTCTTGTGTGTGTGTGTGTGTGTGTGTGTGTGTGTGTGTGTGTGTGTGGAGGAGGGGGCCACAGATGCTGATTTTTTTTCCCCATTAGCAATTTTGGTTTCTCAGATATTGACATGTCCCACACTATAGTGTGTGTGACGACACACGTCTTTTCTTCTGTTGCTGTTAGTTTCCTGCTCTTCGTTTTAGACTTCATTAGAAGAGAGAAAAATAATAGCCCCTGTACTTTGCACTTTTCCTTCAACCCCTTGTATGGCAACAAAAATCACTGTAAAAAAATAAATATACTCTTGCATTAAGGTTGTGGTTCTGATTGCAGAGGGGGAGATGGAACTGACTGCCGAGCTTGAATCTAACTCGGGGTACCTCGAGCACCCTAGCCTGCTGGACCATCGCAAAGGGACCTCATGAGACCATCTCAGAGTGAAAGCGTTCTCCCTCCACTCTGCCCCGGCTCCTGGTGGAGTCTAAGTGGAAACCTTGTATCAGAACTGTGCAAACTGTCAGAACTGGCTTTGTGACCAGGCCTGGCTGGCTCTTTTGTTTGGGGTGGATGCAGGGACCCACCCGAGGCTGAGCCAGGCTCAGCTCTCTCTCTCCTAGAGAGAGAGGTGCCTCCACATCCCTGTGGCTTGACCCTAGCCTGAAAGTCATGGGAGCTGCCGGCCTGGTGGCTTCTCCAGTTGACACAACCTGCTAATACTGCCATAAGCCAGCAATGAACTAAGATCAGGCCCAAGAGAGAATTTGGGTCTTTGGTAAACAGGTGAACTGGGGAGACCTGGGCCGTCTCTCATGCTTGGGGAAGTATGTGAAATTCAGACACTAACCTCTCTGGCCTCTTCAGTTTCCCAACAGTTCCTCTCCTCTGGCATGCCTTCCACAGCCACAACGTCCCCCTCCTCCTCCTCTGCCCACTCCCATAGTTCCTCACAGACCTCTTCTGCTAAGATGGGCATTCATTAGGGGGAACAATTAACAGGCACCTGCTGTTTACTTGAACTTTGAGGCATTTCTCCCCAGTGGTCTGGAGGCTATGCCTATAGATGCCCTGGGTGGGATGCCCAGGGCGGAGGGACCACACGGACACTGGCTGCCCACTTTGGGTGGAATCTGGCCATGTCTAAGCCCCAACCCCAGACTCCAGCAGCTGCCTAGCTTGTCCGTGCAGTCCACGCTGTCCCGATGACCCTGTCTTGTCTGCTCCCTGGGACTCAGGTCTGCATCCCAAGGTCTTCACTGTTTTATGTTTAAAGTTCTAACAACCACTGTGTGCTGCTTCCACTGGACCCTCTGTTCACAATGAGTCTAAAACTTTAATATGAGCCTTCAAATATATACTGAAAAGAAAAAAAAAAAGGATTTAAAAAAATATACAAAGTGTGTGCCTTGGGTGTTTTGAACTGATCTGCATAATGCCATATTGTATCCTGATGCTGTGTATTTAATAAAAAGACCACTATATCTTCGATGTACTCATGTAGCCGATAAAATAGTTCTAGTGCCTTGTTTTCTGAACTGAGAAGCCCGTATCAATGCACAACGTAGAGCGAAACAAAGCCAGGCTCGAGGTCTGCAGCGTGGAAGAGCCAGGCCTACCTGTGGAGCCTTTTCTCGCTAGAAGACTGGGGGACAGACAGTCGTTTACACTATTGAAAAAGAAATAAAGAGAACATTGAAACAGAATTGTGTTACCAATTAATTTTCCATTAAAAGTGCTCTCTAACAGATCAAGTTCGGTATTTTCATTTAAATACAGACAAGTTTTAGAGAATTTTCATGGGGGGGACATTTTTGTTGGAGTCCTGGGTTGCGTCTCCCCTGGTGGTGACAGTTGGCAATGTTAATGGGGGGGTATTTGTTTTCATGTTTTGTTAAAAATATACAAAACATTCACATTTAGGGGCGAGGTCACACAGCTGTCCTTAGAAGAACAGTGAAGAAATACAGCAGTCTACTGCTGGTCTCCATGCTGTCGGCTGTTGCTGGAAGTTCAATGTCAGATTTCTCTGAGTTGCCTCCACCATGAGGGCCACGCTGACACTCGGCCCATGAGATGGACTAGTCACAGGGATAGTGAGCCTCAGAGTTGGGGGGGGCGTGACTCTAGCCAAAGAGAGAGCAGCCCTCCTCCGTGTCTCCTCAGTCCACTGATGCAGAGACAGAGGACAGCACATCCCAAAGGAGCAAGGATCTCCTCCAAACCAGAATCTCCCCTGCGCCCACCGACCTCCAAGACTGCCACAGGGCTGCATCCCGGCTAGCAGGCTGTGGACATCTGGGCCAAGAGGTTCAGACGATAGAAGCCTCGTAGCCCCAAGAAGCTGAAGCCAGAAGTCCTGGACGATGTTTGACCTCCACACCACTCTCCCCATGTTACCACTGCTTCTCCGCAGGGCACAGAACACGGGGGCTGAAGAGTCCAAAGGTTAGACAGAGCACTGCCCACAGCCACCAGAAGAAAGGGCCAGGCAAAGCAGGGACACAGCCAGCACACAGACCCTGGGGATAACCCAGCAGCCACCTGCTGTCCCAGTGCCCCAGTGCCACTCAGGACCACTGAAAGACCATGCTCTCCCACCCTAGAACCCAGGGAAGGTGAGGAGCACACGGCATCAGGAGGGTGTTGGCTTCTAAGCACGCCAAGCCCAGGGCAGGAGCGGGCTGTGCCCTCTAAGTATGCCGTGTACAGGACACTTACTGCTCCAGAGCGGTGTGCAGCCTAGAGTCCCAGTTTGCCCTGCCATCTCCCTGGCTCTGCCTGGGAGGAGTGACGGGCGCCCTGGGTCCTCCCCATGACATCAGTACAGGGCAGGAATGCCAGAGGCTTATCTCAGCCCAGGGCCTCGGCCTCCTCAATCAGCTCGGAGATGAGGTTACGGAGGCTAGATTCAGCAACAGCCCAGCCCCTTCACCTCCTCACCCGGGGTAGAGATGCTAGTGCTCAGATGGAGGACCCAACTGCAAAGGACACCCTGGCTTAGGTGTGGTGTCTGCTTCACCTGGATCCTCACCAGGATCCCAAGCAGTGCCACCAAGGTGACATCCCTTTTACGGATAAGGAAACTGAGGCTCAGACATCCAGATGCCTCGAAGTCCGTGGGAACCTGGAACAAGTTTTCCCAAAGGCCAAGTGCCTAGCACAGGTGCGCTTGCCTCCTCTCATGGCTGTGAGCTCTCCTGGAGCTTCTCCAGCTGCCCTTGCAAGGCCTGTTGGCCACAGCAGACTCCGGAGCCCACGGTGACCTAGGTACTAGCCACCACAGTGGCTTTTCTCCCACAGCCTCCCTCTACGGGGCCACCCTGTCATCCCCTCCGTATCACACCCGGCGGCGGAGGTTGGAGGATTCAGGGAATCCACTGGAGTCACAGGCTGCAGACCCACCACTGTGAAGTCACCAAACAAGAACGTAAGCCCAAAGCGGCTGCCAGCTCTGGTCTTGGGGTCCCCCTCCCCCATCCTGACAAATGAAAGATAAATACTCCATTTTCAAGCAGGGTCACCTAGAATGTGACCACAAAGGCCCCATTAGGAGTTGCTGGGGACGCTGCATCCTCAGGGGAACCCCACAACCTGAACCCTTCAGTGCTTTGTAACAGCTCCCCTCCCTGGCTGGAAGGGCCCCGACCAACTCTCTCCAGAAGGCTCAGTGGAGCATGTGGTGGTTCCACTTGTCGCCCTGCCATCCTTGGCCATCTGCCTCCCCGCACCTGTCCCTCCAAGCAAACCTTCCTTCCTGCTCCCCACGATCTACTCATGGTATCTACTCATGGTATCACTCTGGGCCTCTTTGCTGGAAGTTTCCTGGCTCTCGTCCACACAGCTCCGTGGACAACGAGCACCGGAGCAGAGCTTGGCCAATCACATCTCCTTGCCCTGCCCCCAGCATCACCACCTCCAAAGGCTTCCTGCACATTTGATCACCACATTCTGCCCTTCCCTACACTCCCCTCTGGAAGATGTGCCCACAGGGCCGTTCTGTCCACCCCATTCTCTGCCGTAGCCTGGGCACCAGCCACTAGAAAGACACTGCTCAGGGCTAAACCCCAGGCGTGCTGCTCTGCCCCTCTCATGAGACTTTGGTCTTGCCTATAAAGCCACAGCCTTGTCTGACCTTGGACCTGGGATTCCAGGCCTTGGGAAGCTGAAGGAGGACTGTGACTTCAGGGCCAGCCTGGGCTACATAGTGAAAAAGAACAAATCAAAGCAAAACACTATTGACTCAAGTCAAGTGATCCTGCCCACCTGTCTCCTGACAGTAAGTCGCAAACACTCAGAGTTTTAAACAGCTCAAGGCTGCTTCTCTGGCTCAACAGGGCCATCATGACCTTCCTATGGAGACTAAAACATGTGTTCACCTCAAATACGGAGAGCACAAACAGGCGGAAGAAAGATTCCAACAAGTTCAACATAGAGGTTACAATTACTTACACGCCTGCCGGTGACTCACCGGCACCACACAGAATCCCACCCCTTCCCACCCAGCTGTTTTTGTTCATGGCGCTAGGTGTACAGAAGAACTGTGTGTGGAGCACCACCTAGTGTCCAGGCCATAGAGGTGACGGCAAGCTCAGACAGCGGCAAACTTGGAGCCTGCCTACCAGGGCTTAGGAAGGTGGTGGACACTGGAGAATCAGGAGTTCAAAGTCATCCTCTGCTACATTGTGAGTTCCGGGCCAGCCTGGTCCACATGGGATCCTACTTTTAAAAAAGGGGGTGGGGCGCAGGAGAGATGGCTCAGCGGTTAAGAGCACCAGCTGCTCTCGCAGAGGACTCAGGTTCAATTCCCAGCACCCACATGGCAGCTAACAACCGTCTGTAACTCCAATTCCAGGGGATTCAACAGTCTATTCTGACCTCCGAGGGCATTGCACGACACGGGTGCACCTACCTACATGCAGGCAATACACTCAAGCACATAAAAAAATGAAAAACAAAAAAAAGCAAAAAAGAAGCCGAGTGTGGTGGTGCACACCTTTAATCCCAGCACTTGGGAGGCAGAGGCATATGTATCTGTGTGAGTTCAAGGCCAGCCAGGTCTGCATAGCAAGTCCCAGGCCAGCTGGAGCTATAGGGAGACCCTGTCTCAAAAACTGAAGAAAGGAAGGAAGGAAGGAAGGAAGGAAGGAAGGAAGGAAGGAAGGAAGGAAGGAAGGAAGGAAGGAAGGAAGGAAGGAAAAGAGATTCTAGAAAGTTCCACGCTCAGGTGTCCTCCGTCCGGGCGTACCTTCAGGGAGGGCCGGCTCTACTGCACTCAGAATAACCAGGTACTTGCTGCAGGATACAGTTACTCTGGTCAGGACTGGGCACTAGCACCCCTGCACCGGGCTCCAAAGGCTGTGCAGAAGCTGTGCTCACAGCGCTCATGACCCCACTGTGTCCCCACCTCCTAGGAGGCAGCATCACACCACCTGTCCAGAGTCTGTCCCTGGAGCCCACTGGCCTCCCTCCTCCCTTCCTTAGTCTGCCCACCAATCACCAAGCACACTCTATGTAGGCATCCTCTGCCACTGGCAAGGTCTTACCTTGGAACCAGTACACCTCTGCTGGCTTCTGCCCAGCTTCACCTATGAACAGAGGGTACCGAGTCTGCAGGTCACATGGCCTGTATGGACCAATCACTGGCAGAGGATGTGGGCCCGATTGGCCCTGTTGGGGTGAGTGAAGGATTTTTGAGCCATGTGGGAGGGCCCAGCCCACAGTGGGTGGTGCCACCCCTGGGCAGGTGGGCCTGTGTTGCATAAGAAAGCAGGCTGAGCAGGAGCCGAGGGAGCAAGCCTGTAAGCAGCGTTCCTCCATGGCCTGTGCTCCAGCTCCTGCCTCCAGGTTCCTGCCCGGAGTTCCTACCTTGGGTTCCCTGATGAACTGTGACCCGGGAGGTGTAAGCTG